CTGCGGTGAGGAGCCTGAGGGGCGGCGGGTCCGTCCCATCGGTGCCCGGTGGTGCCCGAAGGGCTCCCCCGGCCTCCCAGGGGCGCGCGGGTGTCGAGAGGCGCTCAAGCAGCTACGGCATCTCTCTCAAAGCTGCTAAACCGGCAAAACGTCACCTCTTGGAGACCCGAATTAATCTAACAGGTCTTTATTTGACCTTAATGTTAGCTTAGGGCAGGTGCAGTATTTGCGTAATCGTTCATTCAGCTCGGTGTTAATTACTGTGTCTGAAGTGCCCCACAATGAGATAACTGCGTGACAACTTCAAGCAGGGAGTGGGAGGAAAACAGGTGTAAAATTAATCAAAGTAAGAGCATGGACTAGATCAAAGCTTGCTCTATCTACCAAAATGAAATGTCTTAGCATTTGGTTCTCATTACTCTAATTTATTACAAGCTTGTGACCGCAGTTAATGTGTCTTATATCAGCATGCAATAAAATCGGCAAGCTACACCTAGAAAAACATTAATGAAATTTCAACTTGTTTGTGTAATTTTATTAGTACTTTTCTTCCTGAAACACTCCGTGGATATGCTCTTCAGTACTATGAGATTAAACGTTTTATTATCAAACCTTGCTGAAGGTCTTCTATGGGAAAAGCTCTTAGGAAAGTTACTTGGTATTGTATGTCATAATCTCTTGTCTAAGTATAGACTATGAAAACAGTTATTTGTTTTCTAAAAGTACTTCAGAAAATTTGATGGCTTCTGTCTATGCTTGCATTCTAGTCTTTCCTCATAGTTCCTGTCTATATAGTGACTTAACTGGGAGAATTAAAGATGCCTGGCATTTTTCAAGAAAAAAATCAAATCTTGCAGGAACAAATTTAACATAATTTAGTTTCTAGAAGTCTGTATCATATATTCTAAGTTTGCAAAAAGCCTTTTCGTAATAAGCACATAAAATCTAGAAGTAAGAAGATTTTATTTTAACTTAACAAAAAATTAAAATTAAATGCACTCAGTCCATTTTCAGCTACTGTAACAGAGTAGGTGAACAGAGTTCTGACAGAGATGCAACTAATCTTCAATAGTTTTTTTAAATAGCATAGTTTATTCAGCAAGTGCCTATTTTATTCTTCCCATAACAGTTATTCAAAGTAAAAAGTAATAGGTCAGGTTTATTGTTTTTTAATGCAAATCACTTTCTTTCTCTAGGTTTTTGAAGCATGTGATGAAGATAACAAAGGCTATTTAAGCAGAGAGGAATTTAAAGTTGCCGTAGTAATGTTTGGTTAAGAACCCTCAAAGGTATATATTTTTTCATTTATGTTCTGAAGACCCAGCTTACATAGATGTCTCACTATTGAGAACTCTGTACTGACTGGTCTGCACTAGTTGGAGTGGATTACTGTAGGTTTGGTAGACAGAAATACCTACAGATTCTTAAAGTAATTTTCTTATCTGGGGGTATTTATTCCAAAAGACAATAATCAAACCCCTACCTTTCCTGCTGTAGATCTGTGATGAGCAGAAGGATGCATTGTATTTCATATGTGTACAAGATGTATGAAGTAAGTGACTTACTGAGCTTGTTATTGGTCAGTTATTGGTTTTTATTAGTGGTACACTCCATTTCTTTACTCAGTGGTTTCAGTAGATGTGAAACTACTGCATGTCCTAATAATAAACATGTATTCTCAAAAATATAGCTATTTTGGGTTTCAAGTAACAGCTGGGCATTTTTAGGCTTGACTTCTCTAATATAAATCTACAGCTGTATGAAAATTTTCACAAAAGAAAGGTTTATTGAGAGAAATTGTATGTTGCGTACTCACAGGAAGATGCAGGATAAATTGTATGGCTTAATGTAGTTCTGTAAGTTATGTTTCTACTCTAGTACTGCAAGTGATCTCAAAAGAAGAACACACATGCAAGATTTCAAAATAAATACGTGTGTCTGTGAGTTTGTCTTTCTCCTGGTATGTCGATACAAGCTTGACCAATATACTATAAAGTATATTTAGCATAGAAATTATGATTCATCTTTCTTCTCCAGTTTGAGAAATCTTCTTCCCCAAGGACCACTTGTGACTAATCTTTTTTTTTTTTACTTAAATAGGTATTTTAGGAAAATAGTCTTAACAAGGTTATAAACAAAATTTTGTCTATGATAATTTAAAGTAAAAACCACAGAAATGTTTTATTAAACTGTGAAAGTAGTCATCTCTGATACATTTCAGCTGTGGGTAAACATTTTCTCAGTAAGCTAGGGCCAGATCTAAAAATAATTTAGACTTCTAAAGTGAGCCTTAACTGCTGAACTATGAATCTGAAAATGCTCAGCTGCCCCTTATCTATCTTCTCCTATCTGTTTTTACCTTCATGTAAAAATTAGCTGTTCTGTTAAATTCCCTGAATGTTTCTTCCAGTAGGAGTACTCAAAACATGCTTAAGGCATTCAAACAAGAGCAGGTTCTGTGCATAAGTCACTGACGGCTCCTTCTTGGAAAGAGAATAGAAGTGGAGGACTCCCAGGCAGAAAGGAGGTGCAGGTTTAGTTATTTCTTCCTGAAAAGGTGCCAAGTCACACCTGCTGTGTCTCTAGGCAGTGCCGTGACCACCTGGCTGTAGACCATTTTGTCTGTGCAGCTGTACAAAAATTAATTAAAAACATTTGTTCCAGGAGTGATTCTGTCCTCTAGTGGTCTTGCTAGCTCCTTAAGCGTGCCCAATTCCAGCAACTGTTGCTCTTTACTCAGTGACTGCTCATTGTGAAGTACTAAAAGATCCTTGGGTAGGCAGATACTTTTCTTTGTGGCTTTTGCTAACGTGCATTAACTATGGTTTACGGCACAGCCACACCTTTTGCTTTTGCTGATGGCTAGGCCTTGTAAGTGTTCCTTTTAACATTTTGGTAGTTTTTAATCTAGTTCTGAGAAACACAACTTTCTCTGTGCACCAGATAGGAGCCAAAAGTTGATTGTTAGGATCCAGTTCTTGTGCATGTTATTGTGCATTTTACGTTGTTGTCAAAATGATTAAAATCAGAGACTATCGTAACAGCCCTTGTATGTCTTCGGAACATACAAGAACATGCCCTGGCAAGGAGAGTACTTTCAAGAGCTTTTCCAAGAAATAGGGAATGGTGTGCATGTGTTACTTCTTAAGTTAAGGTGAAACTGTTTCCTCAACTACACTACATACTACAATAAATTTTTCAGTAGAAATGGCAATTACTTAGCATCATCAACTGCAATCAAGCAACTGCATTTTTAGTAAATTGTTGCTGCATCTTTTTTTTGGTCATGTTTTCATTTATTCTATAAGTTAAAAGTAATACTAACTTTACCCACTAGATGTCATTAACGAATACTAGAGAAGAGAAGGTGGGACCTTGGAATTTGAATCACATTCCTACTCCGCTTGCTTTTTCAAAATAATTTGTTGTAAAAATTTATATTATTTTTTATAAAATATTTTTGTGTGGTTATTCATAGAGATTCTGAACTTACTACTGTTTAAAAATCATTCTTACTCCGCTTGCTTTTTCAAAATAATTTGTTGTAAAAATTTATATTATTTTTTATAAAATATTTTTGTGTGGTTATTCATAGAGATTCTGAACTTACTACTGTTTAAAAATAAGCCTTCTGAGACAAGTAACTAGGAAAACATGAAAATAGGAAGAGATTAACGCGATTGTTGAACTGATACTGTATGTATATTTCATATATTAGCATATAAAAATCATCATTTTGGGGATCTAGCAGCATTGTGGGAATCATATTTGTGGGACTTATTTTTTTTTTTTCTCTGAAAGTTTGGTTCAGTGATCCTCTTTTCCCCAAAATTATTTGAACTGATCTAAAATGCTCTCATATTTCAACAACCATTCAGCTGGCTAACTGCACATTCAGGTGTTAAGTGTTTCAAATGAAAAGGGTACTGCAGGAATAGTAGTCATGAAAATATGTTGTTTCCCCAGCTGAAGTTTCCTTTCTGGTACTGTCACATTTAGATCTAACTAAAAGCACTCTCTACACTGTGCCTAGGAGGCCAGGCCCCCAAAAATGTCCAGTGTTTTCCCTGACCCAACTCTGTACCTTTACATCAGGACACTGGTAGGTCAGCATCTGCTGCTGAACAAGATGCCAACAGCAGGGCACCCTGACATCCAGAGTACAGAAGGGCATTCTGATCTCAGGGCTGCTTACAACTTCCAGCTGCTTTTCTGGCACATCTTATCAAAGCTTTCTAAAAAGGACTCCCTAGTCTATTTGTATGCCTGACATGGTCTGTGTGAAAAGTGTTGCAGGCCAAATGGAATATATAGTCTTAGGTTAACTGGTCACGGCATGTTTGGCTTGTCCGTTCTCCAGAATGGAGTATGCTTAGGTTGCACTAGAAGCTGCTAACATGTCGTCTGCTCCCACGTGAGTTGTCTCAGTGCTGCAACTACGTGCAGTCTTGTATTCTAATAACACAGATGCGAGAGTTTGAACTCATGAGCACTCAGTTGTGCTAAAAGGCAATATAAATATAGCCCAAAGTGGACCTCTGTGCTTTCTTGGATATAAACTCCCTTTCTGTTCCTTACATTGTTCAAAGATCTTTTCCAGTGATCGCTTGGTAACCCCCTTATTCAGTTCTGAAAAGTAATTCTTTTTGTTTTCATCATGTCGTTTAGCTTTTTGCTTTTGTACTATAATGAACCTTGGTAACGCTAATATTAGTGAGTATTAGTGAATCTTGGTAACATGCTAATCAACATCTAAGTGTCAGTCCTGTGTTCCTATCAGGTAAAATTGTGAGGTGAGATCCTATTGAAAGACAGTAAAGGAGATATGTAGTACATAAAATGAGACAGTAGTAGATTGGTTTCAGGGTAGTTGTAGAAGCCGGATGATGCAAACAGGTTTTTTCATTTTCTTCCCTGCTCATTTTTTCATTCTTTACCTTTTTATTGAAGTTTTTATTTTAGACAGATTTACCAAATGAATTTTGATCAAACCAGGTTTCAGGAAATAGTTGGTCTCCAATCTGAATATTGAAACAGAAAGTTCTTTCGTTGTTTAAAGGAAATAACAAATTTGGGGGCTGATGCTCCAGAAGTTAATTTTTAATATTACAGTTTCTTTGTGTGTAGTTGAACTCCAATCTGTATAAAGTTAAGCGTGTTTGTTTAAGCATACTTAGTTTAAGATTTGGATATTGATTAGGATTCTATTAGGACTACATATATACTTAGTTTACTGGATGAAAAAGAGGTGGTTTTATTTTAATTAGAATAAAATATTTTCTTACTTAAATGCCATAGATGATACTGTTGTGTAATATGTATTATTATGAGATCAGTATTTAGTGAAAACACATACTATTGATATAAAATGGAAATCATACAGGAGTTCAGATTTATCACTTCTGTAGAAAACCACTGTGGCATATCTCTGTGTTCCAGGTGGAGGTGGATTCAGTAATGTCTTCTGTGAGACCATGAAATTCAGGTAATATGCAAACACCTATCTGTCACTGATTTCTACTCCTTTTTCATTCATAAATTTAAAAAATCTGAAGCTTAGACTCTCAAGAGTTTTGAAGAACCTGATGTAGATTAATGCTAATGTATGTAATTGTATGAGAATCAACAAGGATCAGTGCCGGGTCCTGCACTTCGGCCACAACAACCCCATGCAGCGCTACAGGCTTGGGGAAGAGTGGCTGGAAAGCTGCCTGGCGGAAAAGGACCTCGGGATGTTGGT